GGTGGGCTGGAATCGTGAGTTTTTACGTGTGCAGGCCATCGGGGGGGTATCTAACATGGTGGTCCCGAGCTGGAATCACGTGTTTTCACTTGTCCAGCCCACCCACGGGGGTATTTAACATGGTGGCCCCGGACTGGAACCCCGTGTTTCCACATGTTCAGGCCACCCATGAGGGGTATCTAACATGGTGGTCCTGCGCTGGAACCGCGTGTTTCCAAGTGTGTGGTCCTGTGCTGGAGCCTTGTGTTTTTACATGTCCAGGCCACCCAGGGGGGTATCCAACATGATTGTCCCGAACTGGAGCCACGTGTTTTTACGTGTCCAGGCCGCCAATGCGGGGATATCCAACCCCAACGCCGGATTATCAGGAAATGAACGGGGGGCCGAAGAGCGTTACCCGAACACATATCCCATTACAGAAAAGTTATGTTTCTTGCTCTGGACAGGGGGTGGTGCTTTGGAGGCCTCTCCAGGGAAGACATTGCGAGGATGTCTCGAGCAGGAGCGCGAATTCAGCGCATCCAGGCCACGCAGGGGGGTATCTAGCATGGTTGTCCCGAGCTGGAATCATGTGTTTTCACATGTCCAGCCCACCCAGGGGGGTATATAACATGGTGGTCCCGAGCTGGAATTACTTACTTTTATTTGTTCAGGCCACCCATGACGGGTATCTAACATGGTGGTCTTGCGCTGGAACCGCGTGTTTCCAAGTGTCCAGGCCACCCAGGGGGGTATCTAACATGGTGGTCATGTGCTGGAACATCGTGTTTGCACGTGTCCAGGCCACCCAGGGGGGTATATCACATGATTGTCCCGAACTGGAACTACGTGTTTTTACGTGTCCAGGCCGCCAATGCGGGGATATCCAACATGGCGTCGGGCCCAACGCCGGATTATCAGGAAATGAACGGGGGGCCGAAGAGCGCTACCCGAGCACATATACCAATACAGAAAAGTTATGTTTTCTTGCTCTGGACAGGGGGTTGCGCTTTGGGGGCCTCTCTAGGGAAGACATTGCGAGGATGTCTCAAGCGGGAGCGCGAATTCAGCGCATTCGGGCCACGCAGGGGGTATCTAACCTAGTTGTGCCGAGCTGGAACCACGTGTGTTTACATGTCCAGCCCACCCAGGGGGGTAACTAACATGATTGTCCCGAGCAAGGACCACGTATTTTAACGTGTCCAGGCCACTCAGGGGTGTATCTAACATGGTTGTCCCAAGCTGGCACCACGTGTTTTTACGTGTCCAGGCCACCCAGGGGGGCATCTATGATGGTTGTCCCGAGCAAGGGCCACGTGTTTTAACGTGTCCAGGCCACTCAGGGGTGTATCTGGCATGGTGGCCCAGAGCTGGCACCCACGTTTTCACGTGTCCAGGCCACCCAGGGGGGTATCGAACATGATTGTCCAGAGTTGGCACCACGTGGTTTTACGTGTCCAGGCCACGCAGGGGGTATCTAACATGGTTGTGCCGAATTGGAACCACGTGTTTGTACGTGTCCAGGCCGCGCAGGGGGTATCTGACATGATTGCTCCGAGCAAGGACCATGTGTTCTAACGTGTCCAGGCCACCCAGGGGTGTATCTAACATGGTTGCCCAGAGTTGGTCCCACGTGCTTTTACGTGTCCAGGCCGCCCAGGGCGGTATTTAACATGGCGGAGCCAGGTGCTTCAACGTGTCCAGGCCACCTAGTGGGTGTCTAACATGGGCCTCTTGGAGCCTTCCCGGATGCCTTGAACGGACGTCTAACATGAAGATGTGTTGATGATGTCTCGAGCGAACCATTTGTCTTCACGTGTCCAGTGCGCCCAGGCGGATGTCTAGCATGAGGTGGCACGTCCATTGGCACGTTCCGTAGCGCGTCCCCTTGGCACGTCCCGCAGTGCGTCCCCGTGGCACGTCCCCTGGGCACGTCGCCTGGCGCATCCCTCGGGACGTTCCGCGGCGCGTCCTCATGGCATGGTCCCCTCACAAGGAGGGAGATGCACGACAGGATTCAGAGGCAGCAGCTTGTTTTTGAATGGCACAAAAGTTATGGAATCGCACGGTCAGGGTGTATTTTATAGCACGGGTTATTCCTTCAGCATTTCCGAGTGTACACGCTTACTCGGACGAGCCGATCGAGGATTCCGACCTGGAGATGGACGCTCAGCGCAGTATCACGCTACTTGGAGCGAGCTGGGCATTAGTGCGACCCCAGCGGTTCCGAGCCGAAGAGTTCCATGGACGAGATGGGGAAAATTGAGGGTGAATCGGGATCTGACAATTCTTGGGTGGGCCTCTCCTGGGGACGTTCTCAAGGCCTACGTGTTCGTGTGGCTGTGCCGGCTGCATGTCACAGACGCTAGGTGATTATTGGCGAAGGCTACGGTATCCAAACGGCTACGGTTACCAATCAAGGCTACGGTAATGATCAGAGGAAGTTCGTAAATTGAGGCTGTGTCGACTTTTCGGCTGCAAGAAAGGTAGGAGCTGTGGTTTTCATGCGTATTTCAGCCTCTCGTCCTCCTTCGCCTCCGTCCCGCCTCCCTTGTGTGCCGCCGTTGTGGCTCACGAGGGCCTTTGAGTCATCTGGCGCGCAGGCGACGGGCGGGCGCGCCCTAGCTCCTGCAAAAGGAAAGATAACGTGCTCTCTTACAGCACGGGTCCCCCTACTTGTACTTCGTGTCTCCATGCATTCCATACAGTTCTTCCTGTACATTCCACAGGGCAGGATGTCTCGAGCGAAATGTTTGTCTTCACGTGTCCAGGTCGCCCAGGCGGATGTTTAACATGAGGATGCGGGCAGGATGTCTCGAGCGAAACGCTTGTTATCACGCTTCCAGGTTGTCCGGGCGGATGTATAGCATGAGGATGTGTTGAAAACTTTTCGAGCCAGACGCTTGGCTTCACATGTCCAGGTCGCCCAGTCGGATGTATAACAGGAGGATGTGTTGCGGGTGTCTCGAGCGAGACGCTTGTTATCACGTGTCCTTGTCGCCCAGGCGGATGTCGAACATGAGGTTGTGTTGAAGATGTTTCGAGCGAAACGCTTGTCGCAGTAGAGCGCATCGCATTCCAACCCCGCCCGTCGGTGGGCACGTCCCGTGGCAGGCCTTTGACATGTCCAGAGCACGTCCCCTGACACGTCCCCTGACGCCCCCTGGCGCATCCCCTCTTGCGCCCCTGGCACATCCTGTGGCGCGTCCTTGAGCCTGTGCCCCGTGTCGCGACGTTGATTTCCAGAGCTGGGTCTGATTGTGAGGCCGCGTTGATTGAACGTCCCGCACTTTTGAATTTCAATTAGCTTTGGGGCAGCTATTAATCCCAACCATCCTGCGGTGCTGGGTCCTCGTTTTGAAGAGACAGCGCCCCGCGTCCCACCTCCTTCCTTCCTCCTCCTCCCCATCACCCCTCCTCCCCCTCCTTGCCTCTGCTCTCGGCACACCTCTCACACGCTTCGTAGCCCCATGGGGAGCTCCACCGAATGACCCAGTGGTTGCTCTCGCATGTGGTTCCCCCACCCAGGGCAGCGCTTCGTGGCCCCATGGTGAGCTCCACCGAAGGCCCCAGCGGCTGCTCTCGCATTCTGTTCCCCCACCCAGGGCAGCGCTTCGTGGCCCCATAGGGAGCTCCACCGAAGGCCCCCGTGGCTGCTCTCGCATGCGTTCCCCCCCACCCAGGGCAGCCCACCGAAGGCCCCAGTGGCTGCTCTCGCATGCGGTTCCCCCTCCCAGGGCAGCGCTTCGTGGCCTCATAGGGAGCTCCACCGAAGGCCCCAGTGGCTGTTTTCGCATGCGGTTCCCCCACCCAGGGCAGCGCTTCGTGCCCTTATGGGGAGCTCCACCGAAGGCCCCAGTGGCTGCTCTCGCATGCGGTTCCCCCACCCAGGGCAGCGCTTCGTGGCCCCATAGGGAGCTCCACCGAAGGCCCCAGTGGCTGCTCTCGCATGCGGCTCCCCCGCCCAGGGCAGCGCTTCGTGGCCCCAAGGAGCTCCACCGAAGGCCCCAGTGGCTGCTCTCGCATGCGGTTCCCCCGCCCAGGGCAGCGCTTTCGTGGCCCCATAGGGAGCTCCACCGAAGGCCCCAGTGGCTGCTCCCGCATGCGGTTCCCCCACCCAGGGCAGCGCTTCGTGGCCCCATAGGGAGCTCCACCGAAGGCCCCAGCGGCTGCTCTCGCATGCGGTTCCCCCACCCAGGGCAGCGTTTCGTGGCCCCACTGGGGAACTCCATCGAAGGCCCCCGTGGCTGCTCTCGCATGCGTTCCCCCCCACCCAGGGCAGCGCTTCGTGGCCCCACTGGGGAACTCCATCGAAGGCCCCCGTGGCTGCTCTCGCATGCGGTTCCCCCACCCATGGCAGCGCTCCGTGGCCACATTTGAGAGCTCCACCGAAGGCCCCAGTGGCTGCTCTCGCATGCGGTTCCCCCACCCAGGGCAGCGCTTCGTGGCCCCATAGGGAGCTCCACCGAAGGCCCCAGTGGCGCAGTTCGCATGCAGTTCCCCCACCCAGGGCAGCGCTTCGTGGCCCCATAGGGAGCTCCACCGAAGGCCCCAGTGGTTGCTGTCGCATCACGTAAGAGTCTGTTGGTAGACGGGGAGGCGGTCCTTGCCTAGATCACGAAAACTCTACCAGAAGCCGTTGGCAGTCTTCCACGCGTTAACGTGCCAGGGGGCACGGTGGCGGATCCCATTAGCTGACTCGCGTTGTTGGCCCGCATCACCGGAGGAAGAGAAAGTGCGTGTGTGTGTGCGCGTGTGTGCGCTTGATCCTTTCATGTGACACCCTCGCCACTGGCCGACCCCTTCTTGGCCACTCTCCCGACCGTTCTTGGCCACTCTCCCGGCCATTCTGGCGGTTCCCGAAAGAAATGACGCCGAAACATTTGGTAGAGACGCCGAAAGAAATGACGCCGAAAGAAATGACGCCGAAACAGTTGGTAGAGATGCTTGTGCCTTTCTATTCTCCATTCGCCGTTCCCTTGCTCCGCCGAGTTTCCGCATTCCGCGCCCCCCCGCGCCAGGAGTCCAAGTGACGGGGAGCTCGGACGGCGGGCTTCTGCACCGCTTTCTTGGCGCATTAATCTCCAGGGGGTCGCGCATTGGGTGAGGAGGAGGAGGAGGGAGGAGGGAGGAGGGAGGAGGGAGGAGGGAGAAGGGAGGAGGGAGGAGGGAGGAGGGAGGAAGGAGGAGGGAGGAGGAGGGAGGAGGAGGAGGAGGAGGAGGAGGAGGAGGAGGAGGAGGTCTTGAGAGAAGGTGCATTGTGGGGAGTGTGCTTGGCCGTGAAGCGCTGGGCGCAAAGGTGCGTTGCACGTGATCCAGACAAGTGGTTCGCGATGCGCAGCCCTTGCGTAAGATCGACTGCGAAGGAAATATTCGTGCGCGAATTTGCAGCCAAGAATAAGAAGGGGGAGAAGGAGGGGGAGCTGCGGCTGGGGGTCCTCCTTTATCCCTCTCGTGCTCTGCTGGTGGTATGCTGGAGGCGGCGCAAACCAAGTCAAAACAGTGCTGCTACGAAAACACACCCGTCCCAGTCTCTGGCCATCAGGTTTGGCAGCCCGAGCTCTGTCTCTTGGGTGCCGCAGCCAGGACGTCTGTGCGAGCCGCCCGATATTTCGGCGCCGCGCCTGCCCTGTGGTTCGACAGTCAGGGGCCGCCAGCTGTGATGCGGTGCGGCTTTCAGACCCCGTCTGGGCACGCCGAATCGTGCCGAACGGTCAGATCAGAACTACCCTCCATCCGTAAAACCGTTTGGCAGTTCAAGTTTCAAGATCGTGAGGCTTAAGGACCCTTCACGCGAGGGCTAGGTTTAAACAGGAGCCGCCCTCCGTCTGTGTAAACTGTTCAAGTTTCAAGCTCCATGAGTATGGAGTCGATGAAGCCTCAGGTGGAGTCCACATTTTTAAGGGGTACCGTCGTCCATCCAGGTAAGTGTTGGGAACTTGAAGCTTTATGGGCATGAAGATCAGAAGAGGTCTGGAGCGAGAGCCAGCTTGTGAAAGCAATCCGCCCTCCATCTGTGTAAGTGCCGAAACTTGGACGAATGTCCACGGCGCTAAGGCGAATGTCATATTTTGGAAATTGCCTGCTTTCCATCAGTGCAGTTGCTGAAGATTCTTGAAGACGACAGTGCACGGTGCTAGTTTGAATTTCTGCTTTATCGCAAACGTATTATCAGTTCGATGTATATGTAGATGTGCATTTCGGTTGGATTGTTGTTTGTATTTCGGTGTGCGTGTCGATGTACATGCCGACTGCAACTGAATCAGCATTTCGATGTGCATGTCGATTTTGATGTCAGAATATGTTCGATGTGCATGGCAATTTCAATTTCGAATGACGCTAGATTTACACGTCGAAAGTAATATCGTTTGACAACCCACGAGACAACAACCGGACAACGAACAGGACAATCTGCAGAACAACCAACAGCCACGGGACAGCCACAGGACAACCATGGGACAACCCACGGGACGACCCCGCATGGCACCGCGAGACGGAGACGTAACATGTTTGCCCCACTTGGCCTTACCCTCGGTCGACACATCGTCGCCCTCGCGCAGCTTCGCCTCGCACGCACGACACGAAGCGAAACCGAAACCAAGTTTCGGTTTAGGCGTCACTTCGTTCTCGCCCCCAATTTCTGATGTCGTAAACGCCCACATTCCATCCGTGTGGATTGTGCCCGGTGTCGATGCGAGGGCCATTGTTGAAATCGAACCGTCGTAAGTGTTCGGCCTTGAAGCTGCAGGATCATAGGCCGTAATGAAGTCTCAGGCGAATCGCCCAGCCCACCTTACCAACATGTCTGGTGGTACGGCGACGAGGAGTCATGGATAAAGGGTGGAAGACGAGGACGAGGAAGATGAGGAGCAGGGGTAGGAGCAGGAAAAGGAGGGGGAAGGAGTTGGGAGGAGGATGAGGGGGAGGAGGAGGAGGCGGAGTGAGAGGACGAGGACAAGGTGGCTGGAGGTTTCAGGGGGTTGGGGAGCGTTTGAGGGGGGTGGAAGGTTTCGAGGGGATCCCCTGCCTCCTTCCTCCCAGATTCCTTCCCCACCTCCCCTCCGCCTCCACCTCCATCATCCCTCGTGCTTCCCTCTATCAAGTTTTGTTTCCCTACTCGTGCTCACTATCCCTGATCTTTCCTCCCTCCCCTCGCTCTCCCTCCCCATCTCTCCACGCCTCGCGGAGTGGCTCCTGATTGCCAGCTTCGATTGCTTCAGGCCTATCCGCATTCGCAACAGATTCCAGAGTCTCGAGTGGTGTCGTTTATGCTCGGTGTATTCGGCATAGCCCGCTTGCCTAAGTCCTCCTTCAGGGTGCTCAATGGCCCCTGGGCCCGTTTCAACTTGCGGTCCAAACTTCGCCACTGGGGCAGCGAGTGATCCTCGCTGGCTCGAGGCACGTTCCATCCAGATGCTTGCAGAGAAGAGCGAGAACACAGGCGATATTCAGAGCGGACACAGTATCATCGGAGTTGTCCGCGCAGATGTGCAAATATTTGTCTTGGCGGTATTGCTATGTGGTCCTCTCTCGGCCAACCTTGTGACAATGATGAGTCTGGAAAGAAGAAGGGGGGCCCTATCGATTCTAACCCCCAGTCTGGATCTTACATTCTTGATATCAGCTAGGCGCGTGAAAGATTAACAGTTTCTTTGGGCGGGGCATCCTGGGAGGATAGGGGCTGGTCAGAAGAAGGGGCCTCTTAGTGGAAAGGGCCAGGAGGCTTCCTCGTGGAAGGGAGGAGCTTTTATTGGAGGGCGGGAAAATTAGACTCTGGGTGGCGCTAATGGTGCTGCTTTCCGCAGTTGATGGAGCGGAGGATGACCGTCCTCGCCTCTGTCATAGAATGAATCTCAGGCATGCTAGCGATATTGCTACTGCGGCTGTATTGCAAGGGAAAGCACTTTGTCGAATGGTGCACCATAGATCTCGAAGCGGCATCCACTTTAACACTCTTCTCGCCATCCTGCTCCTCCTTATCTTCCTCGGTTGGGTCAGCACGCTCAGGGTTTGGTTTGCCGAATTGCCTGCGGGTAGCTAGTCTGCTCTATCGCTCCGCTCATTCCGCCAGCCCGCGTTGTATCATTGGTGGCACTAGCTTGCGTGCTCACGGGGGCTGAAACAGTAGTTGACGGTGGTCGTCTCTGAGCTGTCGCGTGAGATTTCACCTGGGGGGGAGAGGGCGGAAGGATAATTGCAAGGCAAGGCTCAACGGAGCACGCCCCCGCCGAAGTTCCGTCAGTGAAGTTCTTAACCTCGAAAAAGCAAAAACGTTCAGCGGTCGGAGCCCTCGAATTTGATGTTGCAAGTGTTTTCAAGTGTGGAGGTACTGCAGCGCCATTTGAGGGACCCCTTGCCTGATTGGGCGCCGTTCCGTGCACCTTTGGAACCGTTTGAAGTATTTGGGGAATCATGCTGGGTTGGGAGAATGGGCATGGGAAAACATTAGATTTGGCACGTCCGAGGGATGGACGAGTCGGGTGGTAAATGAGGTACGAGGGCGGAAGGCTAAGATTAATCAGACGAAGAGCAGTGAGTATGGATGGAGAAGAGGAGAAACAATGAGAGGAGCGAGATGGACTGAGACGGAGATAGCATGCGAAGGATGGCGGATATTGGATGAGGGTAGAGGGAGGGAGGTGGAGTGAGGAAGTCGGAAGGTGGAGTCGGAGCCGGATGCTGGAAAGGAGGTAATTGGAGGGAAGCGGAGGGCGGGAAGAAGGAATGACGGAGGTAGAGAGGAGGCGGAGCAACAAGGAGGAAATTTGGAGAGGCGGATGGGGAGGGGGGAGGCGGTGGAGGGACGAAGAGATGAAGGTGAGGGGTGAGGGGACAGGCGGAGGAGGGATGACGGAGGGAGGGAGGAGGGAAGAGCAGTCGGGGGCAGGAGAGAGTGAGGGCCCTCGCGCAGAGGATTTCTGCTCGCTGGGAGACCGTGCCCCCGGCGCCGCAGCAACGATCTTACTTGTGATATTGCGGGGGACAAGGCCAGCTATGATCGTCCCAGAAGGGATCCCTGGAGTCCCCTCCAGGGGCATCTCGGGGGCCTCTGGGGGGCTTCTAGGGAGATATTGGGGACATGCTGGCCGTCTCGGAGGCCTGCCTTCTTGGGGACCTCTTGGGCCGTCTGGGGATGATCTAGGGCCATATTAAGACTTTCTTGGAGACGTCTAACCTGTAGGAAACCTCAAGAAGTGTGAAGGCTGAAATCTATCATGCATGCCAGCGTTCACCCCAGCCACAGCCAAGTGAGATGCTGCACTGTGGATGTGTAAGCTACGTAGTGTGATACATGAGACGTGATCTATCTAGTGTGAGCTGTGTGATGCAAGCTTACGTGGCGCAAAATGTGAAGTGCCGTGTATGTGTTGCCAGCTATGTGGTGTAAGCCAGGTGGTGCAATCAGTGTGGTGCGATATCTGGGGTGAGAGCTATGTAGTACAAGCAGTGTGGTACGATGTATGCGATGCAGGCTATAGGCTGCTATCTGAGTGGTGCAATGTGTGCAGTGCAGCTTCTGCGGTGTGCACTACGCGGTGTATGCTATGATGCGTGAGCTATGCGGCGTAAGCTGCGTGGTGCGATATGCATGGTTTGAGCTATGCCGTGTACGCACGGGGCTCCAACGAGGTGCCCACGGGCGGCAGCGTGGCGGAACCTCGGCGGACCCACCCAGCGCACCGGCCGCCCACGAGGCGCCCACGGGCGGCTGCGTGGCGAAACCTCGGCGGACCCACCGAGCGCACGGGGCGCCCACGAGGCCCCCACGGGCGGTAGCGTGGCGAACCTCGGCGGACCTCCATTCGCGGTTGGCGAAATTTCGGTCGACCCATCGAATTCGTTAGGGACAGAAGCAAGAAGTCCTGAGTGTGAGCACCGTTTCGGGAAAAAAACGTTTGGATATTTGTATGTTGTCCGTCTTCGGGGTCTCATGGGCTGTCGTCTTGAGGCCGTCTTGGGCCGTCTCGGAGCACTATTTTTGGGCCGTCGCGAGGCTCTTGGAGCTCCCTTGGGGCGCTCCTGGATTGTAGTGGGGGCCTCGAGGGGGAACATGCTGGGGCATTCCTCTTCTGGGGACCCCAAGCAACTAGGCGTATACAAATGTTATGGATTTCTTGCCGGCCGGAGATTCTACCACGTCTTTAGCCCATTGGGCTGGCGAATTCATATGCTCCAGATGACGAGGACCAGCAGCAGCATAAGGAGCAGCATAAGGACGAGTCTGCCTTGCAGCGTCAGCTTGGCTTTCGAGTGCGTCCGCTTGTCTTCCAGTTCGAGCTGCATCTTGGTGGTTTCGCTTCGATTAAGGCTTCGCATTACGTACCCGAAGCTCTCCGCGCAGGGTCAGCTGGTGGTAGTCTTCCCCCACCCCCTCCGAAAAAACATCCTTAACCCCCCATGCAGGTTATTTTTAGTCGGGTTCCTACCCTCCCTCCCCACAGCATGACAACTAAACCCTTTTTGCAGGATGTTTTCGCTGGGCCTAGCCAGCCCTTTCTCTGAAAACCTTTTCAAACTTCCATGAACTGCATGCAGTTGTATTTCTGGGATTGCAAAATATTCCTGAGCTCCTTGCAGGATCTTCTTGTTGGGGTCTGGCTGGAAACCCAACTAAACCCTTTTGCAGAGGTGCTTTTTGAGTTTGGGGGGTCCGACCCCCCTCTGAAAGCACCCCCACCGCACTTTCAGGGAGGGAAGCGACCCTTCATTTGAAACCTTTTTCAACTCTTCAGGCTTAAACCTTCATTGGCCCAAGTGGCTGTCCATCGCGGACGGTACGGGGTGCTAGCAGCATACTGGGTGCTCACGGAATCCCCCAGACCCGGCACTTGGGCAGGGGAGGAGCGAGTTGTTCGCGCAAGGGTGACAAAAAACAGCTCCGCGCTCCGACCACTCTTGCTGTCTCCTACCCCCCTTCAGGCTTCTTGCTGGATTTCTGTTGGGGGAGGGTCCGGCCGCATGCGGATCGACTCCCAGCCGACTTGGACGAATCCGAACCAAATGGCACGCAGCTTTTAGCGCAGGGAGGCAAAATGGTACCACTTCCGAGCTGCCAAGGATCCTCCGAATAGGGCTCTCTGTGTGAAGCATTTTCAGATGATCGACAAAGCAAAGATTTCTTTACATGCGTACATATTTGTGGGCATCAGCATGATTGCCCTAGTTGGGATTGGTACCGCTTCGTCGGTTTGTTTAGTTACGGTTTAAGCACGGTTGCGGTTGGTAGCACGTGGAAGCACAGACGAGATTGAACACATTGCGGCGCAATGCAACGCAGCGCACCATTGCCCCGAAGCTTCTGCCTCCGTTGTGGGTCGTCTCTGCATCCGAGTCTCTCGTGAGACCGCGCTCTTTCCGGTCGGCATCTCCGATCGACCGCGCCCGTTTTGCCACTTTGTGGTCATCCATCGGAGGAGCCTTCGGCGGGGCCTCGCCCACCGCCCATCTTGCTTGGGGGAATTCGGGAAGCCTTGGGATACAGATAAGTCGCTCCAGACCGTTTGGACACGCGGTCAGAGCATTCCGAAGCGCTCTGGAGCGACCGCGGCGCGGCGCCCAATACATCCTCCATACCCGCTGGCTCTCGGGGACTCCCGACTTGTCTCATCCCGATGTGTCATGATGTGTCCTCTTTTTGCAGTCGTCTCAGGAGGGGAGGGGAGGAGGGGAGTGAGGGGAGGGAGGAGGGCAGGGAGGAAGGGGAGGGAGATGGATGAGGGGAGGAGGGGACGGGAGGGGAGGGGAGGGGAGGGAGGAAGGGGAGAGAGGAAGGGGAGAGGAGGAGGAGAGGGAGGGAAGGGAGCGCAAGGAGGGCAGGGAGGACGGGAAGAAAGGAGGAGGGAGGGAGGATGGAAGGAAGGGAAGAAGGGAGAGAGGGACGGGAGGACAGGGAGGTCAGAGAGGAAGGAAGGGGCGGAGCCTGGACAGTGCGGCACCAGAGAGGCAAATGAGAGCAGGCGCGTGCTATTCAGCTGTGGGAGAGAAGATAAGAAAGAGCGTGCCCGTACGGAACTCATTACTAAAGGGGGGGACCCAGCTTCAAGCTACCCCTTCCCCCTCCCCTTTCTTCGAAAAGGGGCGGGGGAGCTTCCGAAGCTACCCCCCTCCTCCCTCCCCTTTGGAAGCATTTTTGAGCTGGGGGGGCCCTGTCTGAAGGGGGGGTTCTTCGAAGCTATCCCTTTTCTGGAGCAGAAGGTGAGCCCAGGCATCCCTTTCAAAGAGGGGGGAGCTTCGGAAGCTACCCCCCCTCCTTTTTCTGTCTAGACACAGGGGGGGGGGGGGGGGGCTTCAAGCTACCCCCCTCCCCCCTCCTTTGCAAAGGGGGGGGGGGGGCTTCAGAAGCTACCCCCCTTCCCTTCCGGGGCTCTGGCAAAATGGCGGAATCCCTGACGACAGGTGGCACCACAGCGTTAGAGAATGCATTGGAGAATAACGACGACCCCTGGTTCGTTTTCTTGTTTTTCTTGTTTTCTCGGCCATTGGTTCGTAGTCTCGTTTTCTCGGGCTCTGATTCCATTTATCGTTTTCTCATGTTCTCGGCCCCTGGTTCGATTTCTTGTTTTCTCCTGTCTTCGGCTCCTGGGTCGCGGTCTCGTTTTCTCTGACCCTGGTCCGTATTTTCGTTTTCTCGTTTTCTCGGCGCCTGGGTCGTGGTCCAGTTTTCTCGGACCCTGCTTCGTTTTCTCGTTTTCTCGGCCCCTGGGTCGTGGTTTCGTTTTCCCGGACGTTGGTGAGTATTCTCGTTTTCTCCTTGTCTCGGCCCCCGGGTGGTGGTCTCGTTTTCTCTGACCCTGCTTCGTTTTCTCGTTTCCTCGTTTTGTCGGCTCCTGGGTCATGGTCTCGTTTTTTCGTTTTCCTGGCCCTCAAGTCGTGGTTTCCTCGGAGCCTGGTTCGTTTTCTCGTTTTCTCGGCCCCTGGGTCGTGGGTCGTTTTCGCGTTTTCTTGTTTCCTCGGCCCCTGGGTCGTGGTCTCGTTTTCTCGGGGCCTGGTTCGTTTTCTCGTTTTTTTTCTCGGCCCCTGCGTCGTGGTCTCGTTTTCTCTGTTCCTGTTCGTTATTGTAGTGGCCTCCGGCCAGTGCCGCCGATCCGGGGCGCTCCGGGTGCCTGTGGAGATGAACGACGACGAGGAAGACGAAAACAACGACGAAAGCGAAAACGTCGACGACGACGACGAGAGCGACGACGACAACGACCACGACGACGACGACGACGACGACGGCGATGACGACGACGACGCGAGCGACGACGACGACGACGACGATGACGCGAGCGACGACGACGACGACGACGACGACGACGACGACGACGACGACGACGGACGATGACGACGACGACGACGACGACGACGACGACGACGACGACGACGACGACGACGACGACGACGACGACGACGACGACGACGACGACGACGACGACGACGACGACGACGACGACGACGACGACGACGACGACGACGACGACGACGACGACGACGACGACGACGACGGACGGGGGGAGCTGGGTTGCAGGGGGGGGGGGGGGTCTGCTCTGCAGGGGGGGGTCCGCTCGGCAGAGGGAAGGGCTGCAGGGGGGAGGGGGGGGTCCGCTCTGCAGGGGGGGGGGGCTGCAGGAGGGGGGGTCTGCTCTGCGGGGGGGAAGTGCAGGGGAGGGGGGGGGGTCCGCTCTGCAGGGGGGCGGGGCTGCACGGGTGGGGTCCGCTCTGCAAGGGAGGGGGGGGCGCTGAGCAGTGGGGGGGGCAGGGGTGGGGATCTGGGGGGGGTCTGGGGGGGTTCTCTCTGAGGGGGGAGCGTGCAGGGGAGGGGGGGGGGTCCGCTGAAGGGGGGGGAGGGCTGCAGGGGGAAGGTTCGGGCAGGGGGGTGCTGCAAGCTCTAGGCTTGCAGGGGGGGGGGAATGCAGGGGAGGGGGGGGGGGGGCTCCGCTCTGCAGGGGGGGGAGGGGGATCGGCGGATTTGTTTTCTTGTTTTCTCTGCCTTTGGTTCGTAGTCTCGTTTTCTCGGCCCCTGGGTCGCGGTCGTGATTTCTCGGACCCTGGTTCGTTTTCGCATCTTCTGTTCCCTTGGGTCGTGGTCTCGTTTGCTCGGACCTTGGTTTGTTTTCTCGTTTTCTCGGACCCTGGTTCGTTGTTTCGTTTTCTCGTTTTCTCGGCTTCTGTGTTTTTGTGTTGTTGTTTCGGGCTTTGGTTCGTGATCTCGTTTTCTTGTTTTCTCGGCCCCTGTCTCGTTTTCTCGTCTTCTCTGCCCCCGGTTCGTTGTTTGTTTTCTCGGCCCCTGGATCGTGGTCCCGTTTTCTGGGGCCCTGGTTCGGTTTCTCGTGTTCTCCGTTTCTCGGCCCTGGATTATGGTTTTGTTTGCTTTGGCCCTGGTTCGTTTTCTCATTTTCTCGTTTTCTCGGCCCCTGGGTCGTGGTCTCGTTTTCTCGGGCCCCGCTTCGTTTTCTCGTTTTCTCGTTGTCTCGGCTCCTGGGTCGGAGTCTCGGTTTCTCGGGCCTCGGTTCGTTTTCTCGTTTTCTCGGCCCTTGGGTTTTGTTTCGTTTTCTCGGCCACTGCTTCGTTGTCTTGTTTTCGCGTTTTTTCGGCCCCTGGGTCGTGGTCTCATTTTTCTCTGACCCTGATTCGTTGTTTTGTTTTATTGTTTTATCATCCCCTGGGTCGTCTTCTTGTTTTCTCTGACCCTGGTTCGTTTTCTCGTTTTCTTGTTTTCTCGGCCCCTGGGTCGTGGTCCAGTTTTCTCGGACCCTGATTTGTTTCATCGTTTTCGCGTTTTCTCGGCCCCTTGGTGGTCGTCTCGTTTTCTTCGGACCCCTTTCGTTTTCTCGTTTTCTCGGCTCCTGAGTCGTGGTGTCCTTTTCTCGGGCCCTGGTTCGTTTTCTCGTTTTCCCTGCCCTCTGGGTCGTGGTTTGGTTTTCTCGGGCCATGGTTCGTTTTCTCGTTTTCTCTGCCCCTGTGTCGTGGTCTCGTTTTCTCTGATCCTGGTTCGTTTTCTCGATTTCTCTGCCCCTGGGTCGTGGACTCGTTTTCTCTGACCCTGGTTAGTTGTTTCGTTTTCTTGTGTTCTCGGCCCCTGGGTCGTGGTTTCGTTTTCTCGGACGCTGGTTCGTTGTCTCGTTTCCTCGTTTTCTCGGACCCTGGTTCGTAGTCTCGTTTTCTCGGGCCCTGCTTATTTTTTTAATCGTTTTCTCGTTTTCTCGGCTCCTGGGTCGTGGTCTTTATTCTAGGACCTATATTTGCGTTTTCTCGGCCTGGGTCGTCGTTCTGTTTTCTCGGACTTTGGTTTGTTTTATCGTTTTCTCGTGTTCTCGGCCCCTGGGTCTTTATCTCGTTGTCTCAGACCCTGGTCCGGTGTCTCGTTTTCTCGTTTTTCTCGGCTTCTGGGTTTTCGTTTCGTTTTCTCGGGCCCTGGTTCGTTTTCTCGCTTTCTCGGCCCCTGGGTTGTGTTCTCGTTTTCTCGGGCCCTGATTCGTTTTCTCGTTGTCTCGTTTTCGCGGCCCCTGGGTCGTGGTTTCGTTTTCTCGGGCACTGGTTTGTTTTCTCGTTGTCTCGTTTTGTCGGCCCCTGGGGCGTGGTCTCGTTTTATCGGACCTTGATTCGTTTTCTCGTTTTCTCTGCCCCTGGGTCGTGGTTTGGTTTTCCCTGACCCTGGACCCGTTTTCTGGGACCCTAGTTCGTTTTCTCGTTTTCTCTGCCCCTGGGTCGTGGTCTCGTTTTCTCGGACCCTGCTTCGTTTCCTCGTTTTCTCAGCCCCTAGGTCGTGGTCTCTGACCCTGGGTCGTCGTCCGTCGCCGTCTTCGCATGACCTCGTCCTCGTCGTGACGTGGCGACCACCACGAGGTCATGCGAAGACGGCGACGGCGACGGCGACAACGGAAAAGGAGGGGAGGGGGGGCAGCTTCCAGCAGGAGAGGTCCAAAGGCGGAGGGTAGCTAAGGACCCCCTCCCCCTCTTCGGAAAGGAGAGGAGGGGGGGGTAGCTTCCGGAGCGGCAAAAGGGGGAGGGGAGGGGTAGTTTTCAGGGGGGGACAAGAAAGGGGGGGAGGGGGGGGAGTTTACAGCAGGGGGGTCTACGGGGGGGGAGGGGGGATGTAGTTCCGGGCAAAAGGGGGGGAGGGGGGGGGGATGCTTCCGGGGGGGGCCCAAAAACGGAGGGAGGGGGGGGTAGCTTCAAGCAGGGAAGGCCCAGGGGGGTGGGGGAGTAGCTGAGGGGGGACCCCCCCTTTTGCGAGTTCCGCGCGCGCGTGCCTCTTTCGAAGATAAAGATTGTGCTACATATCTAAATATATGTATGTATATACACACATACATACATACATGCATGCGTGCGTGCGTGCGTGCGTGCGTGCGTGCGTGCGTACGTACCTACGTACGTACGTACGTACGTACATACATATACACACATACACATATACAATTTTACAAATGCGCATACAAATACACATACATATCATAATACATACATACGCAAAACAACATATATACAGGGAGACGAAGAGAGAGAAAGAGAGAGAGAGGGTTAGAGAGAGGGGGGTGAAAAGGGTTCGGAAAGAAGAGAGGACTGGGTTGGAGGGGTGTGGAGGAAAAAGATAGAAGGGTACATTGAGACATCCAGGCAGTGCCAAGGATGGGCCGAAGGCTTGCGCCGAAAACGAGGGGGTCCCCAACGATGGCGAGAAGTGCCCCCCTCGATCGGGATCCTTAGAGACTCGAGACACACAACACAGGCCATCCGCAACCGGGGGGGAGGGGGGAGAAAGGCTTGCATTTTCTGACGAGGAGCCTCCAACACTTCAGATTGAACTTGGAATCCTTTCCTATCCTTAGGGCCCCACCTTTGGTCAGGCGATCGCAAACATAAATCAAGGGGGCGTGGATTAGCGACGGGTCCCGCTTCTATGGGAAATCGCGGATACCCGCCGCCGAACGTGGCGGCACCGGCCGCATTTTGGGAGGGCACTTCCCCCGATCCATGGATTTGGCGACCGCGCGCCAAATCCATGGATCGCTAATCCATGTTTGCGCGCCCCCGATTTGAGCCACCAATGGCAAGCCTTGGAGGCCGCTGGGCGGGGGGTGGGTAGGGGGGCGCCCGCTTCCGAGAGCCCCACGCCCCCGCAGGCGGGTGGCAGGCGGGCGCGCGTAGGGACAGGGCGCCAGCAGGCTTGGTACGGGTCGAGCGGGGAAAGGGCGTTTCTTCCTCCTCCTCCCTCCTCCTCCCTCCTCCTCCTCCTCCTCCTTCTCCTCCTCCTCCTCCTCCTCCTCCTCGTGGAGCAGTGAGCTGGCCAACGGCACGCTGTAGAAAGGCTTTCCCCCGTGGATCACCAGAGCTTGCCGGAGCTTGCCCCGCCGCCGCCATATCCTCCTTCATCCCTCCTCCCGCTCTTTGCTTCCTCCCTCCTCCCTGTCTTACACCCCCGTTTTCATGATCGATTTCCCCTCTCGCATCCCTCCCTTTCTCCCCGTCTCCTATCTCTCAATGCCTCTTGCCCGAGTCCTCTACCCTTCATGTGTTCTCCTCTCCCCCTTGCTCCTCC